ATTTCCCCCCTGGTGGTGAGGTTTCGAACTTTTTTTTAGCGGAAAAAGGAAAGAAATAAATTCCCATGACCTCCTTTACACGGTTACTGAGTTTGATAACATTTGATCCAGTAGTTTTCCTTTTATGACCGTTTCAAAGTGGAACTTTAATTATAACCACCCTGTATATATATATATATATATAAAACCATCACATATACAAAATTTCAATGTTCTACAGCTAATCATTTTTTGAGTTATGAAAGATACACACATTTATAATAACAGATGTCATGAAAAAAACCCATTTTACAATCCATAATAGTTTGTTCTATCCGTACATGCAATGCATGCCAAAAAAATTGTCAAGATATTTCCACTCATATCTGATAACCAAAAATTTTCACGATTATAATACTTCCTTTACTTTGTGTAAGGAAATAAAAAGGTAAATGTATATTTAATAACAATGAACAAGTAAATTTATTCATTTAACATAAAGGCTCTTCACATAATGCTGCACGATTTTGAACCTATTCAGTATAATGGATAATCACAAAAAGCATATTATCAAGATTTACCGACTCACACAAACACCTTTCAACTCCAAATGAGTTTTAAAATTCTGCTCGGGCTACCATACATTACAGGTACCCTCCAGACAAGTGGTTCCATGTTTAAACAGATGGTTGAGAAGAAAATACAGTAAAAAAAAGGTTGGTGCTGGAGACTATTCAAGTAATTTTAGTATTAGATGTCCTGTAGAGAAGTACTGTGACAATTTTGCTGGATAGATAGCAGCTATAACATACAGCATTGATAAATTAAAAAATAGCCTAGATCAAAATATTGTGTTTTTCATCAATTCACAAGCTACTATTTTATCACTAACCAATTCTAACTATAATGAAAATGCCCAGGTTCATTCTTGTGAAATTAAACTTTTTGAGTTAAGGGAAAACAGAAAGAGCATTGTGATATTTTTGGAAATGACTTGTCAAGGCTGGATCCCTTAGGGCCCAACCTGATTTCCCTTTGCATAATAATAAAATGAAAAATAGCAGCATATCCTTATATTTTGATACAGCAATGGATAAGAAGTGGAATATCCTGCTTAACAAAAGAAAATTCCTACTTCCTTACCTCGACTTGAGTCAAGAATTCAGCTTGTTGTTCTCTGTGTCATCAAGGTTATATATGGATCGTAACCACCTGAAGAACTGCTCCATTATTTTAAAGTTTATTAAGACAACCCCATAGAGGCTAATTTTTACCCTTGCTTTTTTACACTCTCAACATCATTTTATTGGGCTACTCATCAACTAATGGCAGAAATGCTGAAGACGGGTGTAGGATTAAAAAAAAATTTACCAAGGACTTTACACATGGACAGAGAAAGCTTGATACACAAAAAATATTTATGAAACAAGAAATAATTGTAATAATTAAGATTTTAGACACCAATATGCAGCATGTAGTCAGAAAATGAAAAAATTCCTGTTCTCTTTTAATGATTTATGGTGAGAATTCTGCAAGTAACAGAAATAGACATTATAATTTACTTTTTCAATACCACTTAAAATTTTATAGCTTTAATGAAAATTTAATGAAATTTAATGAAAATAAATAAAAATGCCATCCACACGTATTTACATGTAATACATACAGCAACAAGTCGCAATAATCATTGAAATTTTAGTATGTATGCTTAGCAAGGTAAGGACACTTCACCTGTTTTACCATTAATTATTATTTGATGATTTACGATGAAAGACCAGACAAAGCAGACAAAATATCTACAATGTAAATTTATTTTTTACCTGTTGTTTGAATTCTTCTGCAAAACCCGCTTTATTATGGCAGCAATTTCCACAAATTTTAAGGGATTTTTCATGGTTTCACAATATTAAAAAAATTCATGTGCATTTTTCTGATTTCTATTGAAATTTTAAGATGGCTTCTCATTTTTAAATACTTTTAATATTTGATGACATCTTGAATGACCTATTTTTGAATTAAAACCATATTACATGATATCATATTATCAAGTCAACCAACAGCCGAGCGGTGCCAGTGAGCCATCTGTTATCACTGAAACTGGCAGTTCAACCAGGATTCAAATACCAGCAAATGAACTGGCTGCATGGGTATTTTCGTGATTTTCTTCGTGTAGCAGGGATATGAGCCAGTTTCCTTTAGAAAGTCTTTCCAGAAAGCCTCCCTCCACTTATGCAGATAACCTTGTTTGCTTTGCCATAATGAAATAGACACACAAAATCAACAATGATAACAGATATATGGAAAAAAAATTTTTTGTGTGTTTAAAATGCATCAAATTACACTATCAGCTTAAATCAAGATCTTGATCTCTTGTGATAGTACTGTTAAGACTGGCAAAGCTTGACTGTTTGAAAATAAATAGAACACAATGTGTCATTATCTAACGGATTCTTTGGATTTGTAAGTGAAACAGTTGAGAAATATTGGCTGAATTTTGCAATTTATTCTTCCAGATTTTCAATAATTATCAATTATGCCATCCTCCCCACAATGAAATAACATAAATTTACAGTATATGATACACGAAATAATATTGAAATATTCAACAAGAAGTGGCAATATACAGTAACAATTACTGAAAAGGCCAAATTTACTTTATGAATATATCATAGAAACAACACATTATCCCTAATATTAAAAGATTATTTTAAATTTTTAATTATGCTTAATTTCTACATATTCAATAAAGTGTTGACCTAATCAGTAAATATAAGCATAATTTAAACACATTTTTTTTTCAATGTTCAAGTTATATAAATTACCCCAAAGTAAATATCAGTTTAGCATTCAAGGTTTTATGTAGAATGGTTCAAACTGATTTTTCCCACCATAGAGGCAATTTTTAAAATATCCCCGATATTCTCTTAAAAAAATATTGAATGATCTTTTCCCATTCTCACAAAACTCTTTATGGAATATTTATTAATATTATTTATCAAATAATTTATTATTTGAATTATATTCAGCAGAGAACCAAACATTGTGCTTTAGAAATTTATTGTTGAATGCACTAACTCATTAACTGAAGAGCCTTGGAAGTAATGTTTCACACTGGTTTCCAGAATCTATAGATGACTATTGTAAGCACTGAACGTTTTGTCCTAAATTGCTTGAGAGAGGAGGTATATACCTTAGTAAAGCCTGTTCAACTGTGCAGACAATCAACAACAAATGACATGAAAAAATTCACCAAGAATGCAATGATATTAACAAAACCTTTAGGTATTTGTATAATCAATGTATGTGCACATTTTCTGATGTAAGAATAACATTTTTATGTATGAAATTGCATCATGGTGAATCTGTAAGTGTTACTTTTGTTTCTACAAGTAAAAAAATAATCACTTTAATGCAGAAAAATTAAACGTTTTCCAAAATGAAAATTGACTATCACCTTAAAAGCAGTTGTGACATGCTCTATTTTTCAACAATGACACTAACTGAAAAAAATACTAAAAAATAGAAGTATTATTCAGCAAATATTTAGTAATAATATGATAAAGCAAGTCATTATTTTTTAATTCTGTCATTCCACCTTATTTGTTTCCACTTAATTTGTCTAAAGCTGGAATTTCATTCATACGTGGTGCATTGTTGCCATAGCAATGCATACATTATAAGAGAATACTCAAGCATGCAACCAGCATTTTGGAAGTGATTCAATATCAATTCACTGTATAGAAATAACTAAACTTGCATGGGAGCAAGTGAATTCATCAACACTGACTGATTGCTGGCATGAGGTCTGGTCAGAAGTTGTCAAAATTTTTTAACATTTAAAGAGTTGTGTCAGTCGTTGTCCCAAGCAAAAATCACCAGCATTAAAAACAAAAATTATAATTATATCACATACCCACTTATTAAGTACTAATAAAAATCTTTTCAATTAACTTTTGTTTTCATTTCTCCCTTTTAATTACAACAATATTCAGGTTCGATTAAATTGCAAATTCTTTCATAATTTGAACTATACCTAAAATATTTTTCCATGCAAAGATATTTTTCCAGAACAGAATTTTGCCAACTGCTTAACATATTAACCCTCTCGCTGCATAATTTTTTTTATCAAAATAGGTTCGAAAATTGCATAATTTTTTAATTACATATTTCAAATCTACATATATTTTAGAGTTAAAATATACAAAAGTTTCTGTAAAGAGTTTTTTTTTTTTTTTTTTTTTTTTTCCAGTATAGAATTAGCTTATAGAAAAGGTTGTCAGAAAGTTTACAATGAGAATAATCTATGAAAGGAAAATTTGAAATTAATCTTGGTTAAATTATGATTATTTATAAATATAAAGGTAAAACGTATATACTAATGAAATATGCAAACTATTTATAAAACATTTATTAGAAATGAAGTGTAATATGATAAACTTCGAAACAAGGCTCAAAGCATTCTATCTCGCCATCTTTGCACCAAATACGCGTTTCTTTAAGAATTTTTTTGCCATTTTTCGTTCTTTTTTTAGAAACAATCAGCACAATGTCTATGAGTTTCTTTCTTGATTGAATTGGAGGATATATATCTAGCAAAATGTCGAGCAGTTAGTCTCATGTGATTGAGAGTTGAACTACAGACACTTTTGAGCTTTGAAAAGAGCGCGGAAAATGTGTATATTTCACAAAAATATGGACAACTAATGCCATCTGTTAACCCAGATCTGATTAAATAATTGAACATCACAGAAAAGCCAAAATGATACCATGAACAGGAAAAGAGCGGGTTGCACAGTTAAATAACCGAAAAATATGCATCTCTGCGGAAATCGTGGGTTGCACAAATTTTGCTACTTCTATGTTGCCCGTGGAAATCGCGGGATACACAGCGAGGGGGTTAATAACATAGCATCCATATTCAACCAGATTTATTGCACAACATTTATCTGTAAATAATAGTGTTAATAAAAAAATTCAGGGTATTATATAGCCAGACGATAGATGACATATAATGTGATTACCTTATTCACATTGATAGATGGAAACATATTCTGGAACATTGTGGTCATCAGCTTAAAGTGCATTCCTTCACCACTGAAATTGTTCAGCACTAATAATGGATGATGTGCAAACAGCTTTTCATATATTATAGATTTCTTTTGTGAAGAGATAACATCTCTAATAAGAGAATATGCTTTTATTTGAAAAGTAAGTGTAGGTCCATGAGGTAATTTGCCAATGCGAAGAAACATTGCTTTCTTGGATTTTGAGAACATAACAAGATGAGTTACATTCAAAGGACCAGCCATATGAACAAAATCCTTCAATACATTTTGTTTTTGAACCTGTAATTGAATAATATAGTAAATTACACATTGAAAATAAATGCCTTTAAAAATTATTAATAACATCTGCATACATTCAAACTTGCAAATTTACATCTAGCGAAGATATTTCAGAAATGTTAAGAATACCCTTTTAAACTTGCCTTACATGTATATTCTTACATATATATATATATTCATGTAAGGCATTAGTGTTGAATAACATTTGAATAATAGCAGGTTTGTATAACCAATGGCATATAATTACAACGAATAGTTACACCCAATGAAATCCTAATTAGTCTTTTCTTAGTTGGCATCATTTTATAATTAGCCTTTTATTTGAACAGTAGACTACTATTCACAAATTGATTTCTTTTGCTACAAATTAACTTACTAGTAAGCAAGCAGATATAATGTTTTATTTAGTACTGTAACCAAAATACAAACTCTGTTAATCTAAACTATGTTGGACTAACTGTCGCAATTCGGGTGCCCTCTGGTGAGTAGCCAGAGAAAGACTTCAGTAAACGACAAGTGATGAACCTGTTAGGTTGCATCAGACTCTTGCTCTGTAATAGTCTTAAAATTAAGTGTGATGTTCGTGTGTAATTTAACCCTGTTAATACATTATTGCTACACTATAAATGACTCTTTTTATGACCCCATCCAAAATGACCCCCCCTTATAATTGACGCCCAATGTAAATGTTTAAGAATTTTCATTTAGTCTTTGCTCAATTTACCTTTCAGGAACAGTACTTGCATCTACACCGTTGGATAACCCAGGTCCTAAAACTTCGTGTAAAATACCCAGGTATGATTTTTTTTTTCTGCTGCTCTGATGGCTTACAAGCAACAAATAGTTGTTGTCAATATTATTTGTTTTGCATTTAAACACTAACATTCTGTAATGTTTTAACTCTTGCTTTTACATTGGTAGAAAATTGTTTATATTTGATGATTTACAGTACTGCATGATTCTCTCTGGCAAAATATTTTCTTTTAAGGAAGAGAGATTTTTTTCATGTAATATTTTGACACTGTGTTATATAAACTGGTGGGCAAAACTTAAGCAACAATGTAAAAATTTAGCAGATAGCCATGAAATTGCAGAAAAGGAGGTCTGTAGATCAGTATGATGAACACGTAAGTCAGTAGAAACGTCGTGTGTATGCAAATATCAGGAACAAAACATCAGAGGCGACGTGAGCATACACAAAACGTGTGATGTCGGCGCGTGCAGTTCAACAGTAGAATAAAAGGAAGGACGGAGACGCAATTCAACATATTCACTGCAAGTGCCAGTGAGTCAGTTTGTGAAATATGGCTAGAAGAAATCACCTGGACGACTTCACACGTGGAAGAATGATCAGAAAGCTGGAGGAGGGCCGTACTGTCACCAGTGTAGCTGCAGAGTTCGGAATCAATAAAAGTGTCGTTTTGCAAGCTTGGAAAGCGTTCCAAACCTCAGGTACAGCTGTTAAAAAGGTTGGTGGTGGCCGCCCGAGGACGACAACTGCAGGGGATATATCATCCTGCAGGCGAAAAGAGGCCGACAGCAGTCAGCGAGCGCCATTGCTCAGCAACTCTGTACAGCAAAGGGGCGAGAAGTGTCGCGGTTTACTGTGGCCAGATGCCTTCACAAAGGGGGCCTATTCGCTAGCCGTCTGAATGTTGCTTCCCGTTGAAAGTTGGCCACCGACGCCACCGTTTTACAGTGATGCAGAGAGCACAAAAACTGGACAACTGATCAATGGAGTCGTGTCCTCTTTACAGATGAGAGTCGGTTCAGTACCAGACGCGATTATCAATGCGTTTTGATTTGGAGAGAGGTCGGGACCTGGTTTTATCCCAGTAACATCAAGGAAAGACACCGTAACGGTGGTCCTGGAGTTCTTGTCTGGGGAGTCATTATGCTGAATGGGCAAACTGAGCTCCACGTTTTCGACAGAGGGTCTGTAACCGGGGATCGCTGTTGTGAGGAGGTACTCCTTCCCCATGTGCGTCTGGTCCGAGGTGCCATTGGCCCAGACTGAATTTTTTATGGATGACAATGCATGGCTACATCGGACTCTTGCTGTTGAGGAGCTACTGGAAAGTGAAGATATCACTCGAATGGATTGGCCAGCGTACTTCTCAGATTTAAATCCCATCGAACATGTGTGGGATGCTTTGGGGAGACGTATTGCAGCACGCTTAAATCCTCTGGAGAACACCTACAACTCAAACAGATGCTGATTGAGAAATGGGCACTCCTACCGCAAGAATTGTTGCACCAGCTGGTTCTGAGTATGCGGAGACTGTGCGAAGCAACCATTGCAGTGAGGGGAGGGCATATCCCATATTAAGGAACATCTGCTTGTTGTTCTTCCTCTTGGATAGACAATCATGAGTCGCGATACAAAGCTTGTTTTTGTTTGTTTCCATGCCATATGCATTGTATTTCCTTTTCAGCTCCAATGCTTTCATCATCCTTTATGTACATAGTACTCTCCTTCAATTCTGCATTTCATGTCTCTCAGTTTATTTCTCGTGGAGTTATGGCAAAAAACCCTGCTGTTGCTTAAGTTTTGCACACCAGTGTATATATTTTTTTCATATTAACTAACTTTAGTGTATTTACATTCTTTAGTAAAATGACTTTATAGATCTTTTCTAGGTAAGGTGACCTCATTACAATCTTTTACTTAGTGCCATAATAAAGTTTTTTTCCCGCTTCGAAAAATTTATTTTAAATGAAACACGTCACCATGTCGTTTTTTGCTATATGACTGAAATAAGATACATGTGTTCTAGCATACAAACTTGGTGTGAATGTTGCTGAATAAATGACAATAGTTGACATTAAGGATGCCATTTTAATGAGTAAGAAATACAATGAAGAGTTCACAAAAGACCTATTTTTTTTTAGCATAACTGAGGAATGAAACGTAGAGGTACATGGATTTAATGAAAGAAAAGTGCATGAAAAACACGAATATAATAAAAGAAAAGAGCATCAGCGACATGAATGTAATGAAAGAAAGAGATAGAAGAATGTAAGCATGAGATTGAAAATACAAACAGCTAGTTCAGGTGCTAGTAATAATTCCACACCTGCTTTGAAACTCATTGACATGGATAGCTCTAAGCTACAACTAAAAACTTTCCTCACTTTAATCCAAAAACTGATAGCGTGAGCCTTTTCTCACTTTATTTGAAAAGCAACTAAAAATTCTGAATGCACCTTGAGGGAAATGGGTAGTGTATCTCTTAGGTGTGTTACCTAATGACGATGCAAAACTAATTGCAAAGGAATCTGCTGGTGATGCACAAGATTATGACATCAAACAAATTATCTTAAAATGTTTTAAATTAGGCACTGAAAAGTTTCGGCAATTATTTTCGCAACATGGCAAAAGTCCTGATAATACATGGCGAGATTTTTACTTCAATTTGAGAACTTTCTTTGATGGCTGGATTGGCGAATTAAAAGCCAATACTTTGAGAAGTTAACGGATTTGTTAATATCTGACCAAATTAAAAGACGCTCCCCTTCTGAGTATAGAGACCATTTTGTGGATCCCTGGTTCGAGTGGACTGGTCTTCTTCAACAAGTTGATAAATTGGATTTATATAAAGAAGCTAAAAACATCAGTAAGGGCACTCCAAAACCTTCTAACGTAGTCGTCCCTAAAATTATAAAAATAACCCTCAAATTGTTAAAAACTCGGCGGTAAGAAATGCTGGCATGTGAGAAGATCAACCGACTGTTAGTTGTTATGGTTGTGGAAAATCAGGCATCATTAAGATTAAGTGTCCAACCTGTTCTCCTTCTTTGAATAAAGAACCAGCTGACTTCAAAGCTATAAACTTACATACAATATCTGTGGAAACACTTCACATGGTTCTTTTAAGAGTAAAAATCAACAGATTTATGGGAATTGTTTGCGCCAACACTGGTGCTAATCACAATACAGTGGAAGAAACATGATATATAATCTCTTGAAAGAACATGGAACAGAATTTAAATTTACCATCGGCATAAGTAACTATGAAAGTCATGCTCGCCGACAGTATTCAAAGGGACAAAGAGGTCCACATGACCCAGGTAGACATTCACATTGAAGGAAGATCATTCCGCATAACTTTATTTGCGCTCCCCTTAAAACTTAGAGCAAAGGGTGACAGGACACTTTTAGGATCGGATTTTCTTAGAAGCGCTGGGATTGTTATAGACCTATTAAGTGAATGCCGGTTTTACCACAATAATCCGAAACAGAAGTTAATTGATGATGGTTTTAAACCAAATGAGCAAACCGAATGTATGCCGGAAGTTGACAATGTACTGTTAAAAGAAGGTGAAGGACAACCTCTATCACCTCATCAATGATCAAAATTAAATGAATTATTGAGTCAATATTCAACTATCTTCCAACCAGGGGAAGAAGCAACACCTTTCATAGAATACAATTAAAACCGGAAAGCATGTCCCAGTAGCTGTACCACTGCACAGAATGAATCTTGTCAAGAAAGAAATCTTAAAGCAGGATATTGAAAAGCTCTTGTCTGAAGGAATAATTAAATAATGTGAATCACCTTATGCATCCCCAGTTGTTTTAATACCAAAACCTAAGGGAATAGAATGCCTCTGCATAGATTACCGGAAACTGAACACTATCACAGTTACGGATTCCTACTCACTTCCGAGAATAGCCGACCTGTTACCTGATGCAAAACCTACTCTTTTTATGTCAATTTTTGATCTTCATGCAGGTTATCACTAAGTGAAGGTTCATACTAATGATGAAGACAAGATAGCATTTGTGTGTCTCTTTAGAACATATTGCGAATGCCCTTTGGTCTTCTGAATGCCCCAGCAACATTCCAGAGATTGATAGACCATTTTCACAATGGACTTGAGGACATCCTAGCCCTCATCTATCTGGATGACATAATCATTTTATCAGAATCATTCAAGAAATACCTTTCCAATCTCATAGCTATTTCTGAAAGGCTTTTGCTCCTTCTTGTGTGAAA